CCGATGCTTAGAGGCGCTGTCTTGAATTGTTTATGTACATATCCTTTGACTACTTACAAAATAGACATTTAATTCCCATGTTAAAGTGTTTGCAAATTTTATAATAACAACGTACGTAGTTTAGTGAAGCGACCGATAGAGTGTGCTGTTGTAAATTACCGGTTGAAAACGCCAATTTTGTACAAAGCCATACTAATAGGATGACTTATTGTAAGCCATAGAAACCTTACCGTCAAGTCAACTATCACAGTAACAATATTAATCAATCAATTATCATTAATTGATATGGGGACCACCTAGGTGTGTTTTAACCCAACTATGAGGGAAGGATGAGTGTAGAATGGAGTGAGATGATCTGTGTAGCTTTGTTACTGACTAAGATCAGCTGTTTCAGCCAGGATCATTTATAGCCCAATTATCGAACAGCTGGGTCCAGTTTCTAATAATCAAAAAGCTACTGACTATTCTCAGAATCGAACCGGCGACCTTCTGATCGTAAGGCGAGCACTATAACCACTCGGCTACCCAGCCCCATTGATATATAACATGTATAACTAAGGCAGAAAAAATTATAAAATAAAAAATACAATTTACATAGGCCTATTACGTTTTCTATTCGAGACAAGAAATATTTTATTTGAACCTCTTATTAAGAGAACTCGCAAAATTAAATATTTAAAGTGATGTGTGTAATAGTACAAAATAAAGTCATCAATAGTAAGGATAGTTGGTAAAATTATTATGCAGCAAGTAATATTAAAATTAGTCTAAGCTCACATATTGAAAATCAAAAGGCTTGTTGGCTTTGAAATATAATTTAATTTTTTATGTAAAGTGTGTTCAGCATATGGATTCAACATCGGTCAACAACGTTGAACTACTTCTAAATTTGTAGCGAAGAGAAATTAACGGAAATTCTCCATGTCATTTGATGGCATCTTTCAATCGCTTTCTAGTCAGCATAAATAACCATGTTGATTTCTCCTCTAAACTTTACATTTCACTTCAACCCAAGCTAACCCAAAATTATCTAACATTGGATCTGTGAAATCATTTATGAAGACAAGTAAAATTTTAAAAATATACTTAATATTTTAAATAGAAGTAATAAGTACGAGCGCTGGCATGAAATTTGGTTTTTGTAAGTACGGTTTCGAGTAACACACATGGTATACCCCCAATTCGTGTCATATTGTCACAACATATTAGCATGCTGTTGGTAGCCACTGGTCAGTAAGTCAGGGTCGAATGACATAATGGCAACTTCGCAACAATTGTTTGTCTATGTCTGTTGTTGAATATCTGCCGCAATGTATAAAAGAAGAAATAAATAGAAATAGAATTAATTGCACGTGATATATAGCTTTCAATATTCACGACAATATTGTTTGATGTATTAAGAATCAACGCCAGTATTAAATACATTTTTCGAATATTTTATTCGCGTTATCACCTAGTATGAAATATTTTAACTAAAATAAAATAGTGTGTACAGGGTGGGTTTAAGCATAGACTAACCAACTAAGGGAGTATGTTTTATCTATGGTTTAAGTAAATCAATGTCTTTCACTATGTGGGGAAAATACTAACAACTAATAATCTCCCCTCATATGGCCTTAAGCTGTACTTGGTATAATCTCAGCTGATTTTCATTTTTACTCACTTGGATTATTATTAATTTTTAATAACCTCTTTTGACACATCATCTCATGCTCTTGTTTACAACTTCATAATAAACATGGGAATTTTTATTTTGTATTCCATACAATCTTTTCTGAACTAATCTGTTTACGTGCTAACATTTTAGTCTATTGACAATAATGATCAACCTTTGTTTCAAGTTTATTATTTGTTTTACTAAACCAGAACTTCCAAAGAAGAAGAGTCAAAAATTGAAACCGTCAAAGGTTAAACCCAAAACAAGTTTAAAAAATAAGCAGTTGAAGCCTCCGGTCTCACAGGGTCCAGTGGACGATAATCCCGAAGATAACATTGATAACACAGTAACATGTGGGGAAACAAGAGATTGGTGCCTGATAGAATATTCTCTACTGGCGAATGTTTTGCCCAAAGTACAGATTTACGTCGTGACATGGGGTGAAGTAGCCAAGATATACATCGAAGGAGACAGTCGTTCTGTCAAAACGGTCCTCATTAATGATGTGGTTTGGGTTTATTTTGAGATAATCCATAAAATTAACCCCCTTAACAATGAGGATCTTCTCAAGTTCAAAGAGAACAACATTTCATTCACATTTTCTCAAGACAGTAAGACAATGGTTCCTCGAGTTGCTAAAGATTGTCCAAAAAGGTTCGAGTTTGTCGATGAAATAGACGATAAAGAGAAGCAAAATTTGTTCTTGGAGCTGCATCAAATTGATCCTCCAGACGACGAATATTGCGATTTTAAAATGAAGTTGGAATCTTTCAAAATGACCCGACCAGATGACACTATCGTGACTATGATAAATGTTAAGACTTGTGAAAAATGCGTTGAGCTCAAAATAAACGAGGCCACGTCTAAATTGCCTGTTGCAAGCAATTCCTTGAATGTAGCAATAAAAGGAGGCAAAAAGTCATTAGGTGCAAAAAGAAACAAAGCAGAAAAACAAGGAAAAACAGTTGAAGCACAAAGTGATGCTAGACAACTAGTTATTGATAATGAGCTCTTGATTGCTGGAAAGTGTAATGTATTTTCAGAAAGAAATGAAATTTCTGAAACTCTTAGGTATGCAGGAGTATTTGCTGAAGCGTCTAAGATTTTGACTGACGAACAAGAACTTACTTTTGTTCCTTTTGTTGTAAATATTCAAACACTGGAATCTCTACCTCTAACTTACTTTCATGAACTAAATGTCCAAAAAATATTTGCTCGTTACGAGTTTGCAAACGTATTTCATGAAGTAGAAACTCCAAGATTTCCCTTGCAAGAAAAGATTACAATAGATGAAACCAAAGTTTTCTTCCTTAGTAGCCCTAAAGAAGAGTTAGCTCATGCCGAGTTGATGGAGAGACCCTCGATGATTCTATTGGCTGAAGCGTTGCTGACTTGTAGGTTTGTTGTGAGGATATACGGCGAGATAGGACCACAAGATTTTGAGGGTGTAACACCTTGCATATTTGGTGACCGTCCAACTGATCCATTTATTTCCACTCCGGGCCACGAGATGTTTCTAAACTACAAACCACCCTCTGAATCTCGGGAGGTTTTCTTAGGGTCAGCATACTTCAATTTGATTCAACTAGTTAAGGGACACAGTTTCATCGAGGCTTGTTCTGTTTTTACTTCTTCACCATTGTCGTCCGTGGACCAAAATTGCGATTTCAACGTCATTACGGGTAGTCCGCCAAACGAACCGTCCCTTAAATCCTTCCTATCGAGATTCCCGTCTTCCGGCCTCGTCCCAGAATCTATGTTTCACGATCATAACACCACAGTAAAACTCAAAGTAAGATCTCTCTGTAAACTTACAGTCCCTGGAGGCCAAATTTTGCTGAAACTGCCCCACATTTCCCATCGAGCAATCATCATATTCAAAGGAAATCGTTACAACGATGAAGTATTCGATATCATTTCAAGTGCAAATGCAGTGTTGTTTGACAAGTTTGCTACTTCAGACGAGTCGCAAAGTCTAAAGTCCAAAGGAAGCGCTATAAAAGAAGAACACTCCAACACTGACATCACTGGGTTTTTTGTTGAGCACGAACATGAGAGCATTTTGGTAATTGAGGCTATGACGTATGTAATACCACCTTTGATAAACAAATTTCAAGATTTTGTGAAGTTCAAAGACTACACTAGAATAATTTGTGATTCAAGTATTTTCTTCTCAAAGAGGCTCTACTCGAAGTTTCCTCCAAGACACATTTTTAGAATTAAACTGCCTTTATCTCTGAACGAACTTTTGAAAACCTCTTCGTTTTACTCAACAAAGAACGCACATCATGAATCTCTTCAAGCATTGCTACTCCTTGATCTTCTTAGACGATGTAGTACACTTAATAGTGCATGCATTCATCAGTTGTTTCCGTCTTGTACGCAGCTGGTCAGTTTCCATAAGATATTTGGCGTTGAAGAAAAAACGGAATTTACGATGAGTTACTGATGTAAAGTTGTTGACAATCTTAGAGACATGTAGAAACAGAGATTATAGTAAATATAGGGCAGTTTCTGCCACAAATATTTTGTCAATTGTGTTTTTTGGGAATTGTGTTTAAAATATTTTTGACAATCTTTTTTAATTAAAGTGAGATATATTTATGAGCGCTGATCGTAAATTTGTTAAGGGTATCGTCACAAATCTTGAAGTAAAATTTCAGTCTGGGCCAAACTGGGGTTTGTTCTTTAGGTTATCAGTTAACAAGTTTGCTGAATTGTCCATTGCACGTAGATCTATAACACCCATTTATAACACCCAAATTTTATTCATTTACTTACCTCAGACCTATAGACGAGTACAATAACCACACAGCTGAGCTGTGGATGTCTTATGTGAGGCAACTGAGCGTATTTGTTCAGCCAAACATGAATTTAAAACGAGTTTAATACAATAAAATTATCTGTGAAGTTTTGTTACCGATAGATCACCTTTAGACCAACGATAAAAAAAACATCTGTATCCGATAATCAAAAAGCCACACTTACTTTCATGATCGAGTTGGCAACCTGCTGATTATAAGTTGAACACTAACCATTCTAAAAACTACATCTCCCGCCAAATCTGTAGTCTTAGCCTCTCATTACCCACTCACCTTTCGTCACCATTCAGGAACAAAATGGCAACCCTCAAATTCGAGCAATATTAACACTCAGCAATTATCATACAACTCTAATGGACATTCATTTGTTACAGAGACTCTCCCAGATGCGTTGAGGACGGGCTGCAGCAAGTGTACGGAGAAACAAAAGATAGCCACAGACAAAGTCATCAAGCACGTCCGCAAGCACAAGTCCAGGGACTGGGAGAGATTGGTCAACAAGTACGATCCTAAGGGAGAGTTCAGGAGCAAGTACGAGAGTCGGCTTGACAACCCTTGAAAGTACAAAGTACCCCAAACTCCACGTGATAACTATGTGATTCCATCGAAAATTTCCATGACGGATTCATTTTTTACAAAACACATTTAGGTTACAAAACTGAACTGTTAGCTTTTAATTTTGTTTGTTTAGAAAACTGATACTGTGTTGAAAACTGCAATAAAGACTTGCACAGTATGTGGTGTCGTTTTTTACGATATAATGTTGTGGTATGCCTCTTCTTCGCCAGAGATCATTCAATTTATAATTTTTTTATATGTTTGTGTGTTTATTTTGTAATGATTGTGTTATGTTTATAGAATAAATAGGATATTTCATTACTAGGGCGTAAAAGTCACTCTTTTCGACCTGAACTCAGGTTTCTGAAAGACGAGCGAGTGTTGAAAAAACACTTTTTGCCCGCTCGATGAACTATATTTTTCCTTATTTTGCAACATTATTCAACAAACAAAGCAACAACAGAAAATATTGTTGATGTAAAGATAACCTCTCAAAAAAACTTTCAACTGGTTTACAATTTTGCCAATAAGCAGCTGTTTACCAAGGATTCAATATAAGTTACCACACCATGAATACTAGATATTGGTGGCTTGTAGCAAAGAGACATATCAATCTTTAATAGAAGTTACGACACCACGAATACTACAAGGCTACGCCTTGCGAATACTTGACATTTAGTATTCGTGGTAGTTACCACGATTACTAGAAAAATACCAGTATGGATCATAAACACAAACAAATGACGTTTTCGGCCTGAAAATAAACATTATTTAACATTGCTTAAATGGAACTGCCAAAACATATGTTCAATGCTATTAGTATAGGATTCGGGCCAACAACGTCATTTGTTTATGTTTATGATCCATACCGGTATTTTTCTAGTAATCGTGGTGGTTACTGATACTTCGAACTATTGACGCGAATGCAATAATCTACAACCGAAGAAATCAATCAATACAAAATGTCAATACATGTATGTGTTTGTATAAATCGATGTCTACATTGCTGACTTCTTCCTTAGGGACTGAACATAGGCCTACTCATCTTAAAAATAAACTGTTAACTAGAAAATCATAGTTAATCACTTCCTGGCCGAATTTCCACTTATGTGAGTTGAGGTCAAAACCTCCGGATTGTAGAATAACCCTTTTGTCCCACGGAAGATGATCGCCGACTTCCTACATTCAAGGCTGGCTAATGTGTTTACAGAGGTCAACAATGTATTGACAGAAGCTCATACAACTCTACTGAGCATACATGCATGAGTCGCTGTTTTGAGTGACGTCATAGAGCAGTCCAACATTCCTCGCTAAACACTAAGAACAATAAAAATAACGATTATTGTTTAATGATTGTACTTGGCTACTAGTTTAAATGTACCATTGGGAGGCTGTATGTACACATATTTTTGTAATATTCTACTGATGACCGTAGCTATCTGTAATCATGCTGGCCCATTTTCCAAGAAAACAGTATTACATTTGTTGACTATTCTACATAGTTTAATACTCTATTCCACACCCTCAACACTGATCAACTGATAGTTCCCAATTAAACTCCCAACGTTTATAATTTATCTAGGCTACCAACCTTAGTCAGACAACGATAAGCTAGTGGTTTCGAGCTAGGCGAATGCGAGCGCAAAACACAAACTAGTATGAAGCCCCGTGATGGATCTTTCGTGACGAGTAGTGAGCGATACTTTCCATCCCAATGAAATAAATCACACGAAGGTTCTTGGTTTTGAATAGTATAGTATATTTCGTACCTAGGGCCGAAAATAGGGGCGATCGTTATTAGTTCTTGACTTCGTCTCGAACATAAAAACCATCTCGAGCCGGCAAAACCATTTCGGTCCGTGGTACGAACGCTATTTTTCACCACACTATACCCTATTACCACTATTCACCACAATAATAATACACACTGATAATCAACACAACTACAACTTTAGGGTTATGTGAACAAATAATTTGAAGAATCGGCAAAAATAATAATAAATAGTTGCTAGGCAGTCGTACCAATAAAACAATTCTATTGCAAGCTATGGCTACTGATTGTGTATTTAATATGCATTCATGACTTAAGGAAGTAAGCGGGCAGTTTATTTTGCGGCCATAGGGATGTAAAAACCTGCTCGGTCCCCAAATGACGATTACAGCTGGCATGGCCAGCAAAACATAACTTTCAGCCACCAATTAACGTATGTAAAACAGCTAAAACATCATAATGTGGTAAGTATTGAGGATTTTTTATTTAGTGTTGATTGGTCTCCTTGGCTTCATTTGTCTTGCACACTTTTTTATCAATGAATCTAAAGTCACGACCAAAATACTTTTACAATAATTACTGCTTAGAACATCATAAGGGAAAATAACTCTCACACCAATAACAATAAATAATGTATTGTGAAATTAAAGCTGTCATCCTCTAAAACGGTTGTATATCTGGCCGTATTCTGTAGGGTAGTTGTTACGTATGAAGGTGAGCAGTCTGTTGGCGTTGGAGCGCTGTTCCGGCGTGCAGTTGGCGCAGTTACGACTCAACACCTCAGCCGCAGCCCCTGTAACAAAAGTTTAAATAACAATACCTGACGAATTTTTCTCATTCCCCTTTTTAGAATCAAGAATTAACGTGGTTTCTCGTTTCTCGTAATTATTGATTTATTCTGACATGTCGACTAAGTGAAATGGGGGTCAACTGGCTTGTCGACACAATGTCATGTCGGTCAACTGGCTTGTCGACACAATGTCATGTCGGTCAACTGGCTTGTCGACAAAGTGACACAATGATCAAATAGCTACTGTCCATTAAAATCTATTAAAATACAATTTTCTGAAAACTGGCACGGTATTGTGTTTTGTAACTTGAACTTCATAAAATGAAAACTAAGGGTAGGCATATAGTAAAAGCAGATATGGATAAATTGTGGAAAAAACCTTTTCGGGTGGATTTGATTTTGCTATACAAAGTTATTGATTTCATTGTGATTAGTATAACCAGTTGTTAATATAAAATTGTATTCATCCTATTATTTGATCTAAAATCTGTTAGCATGTTAAAGTAAGCAGCTGTTTAAATTTTTGACGTGATTTTTTTTAAACTAACATGACAATTCATATGGCTTTAGTCAAGGCAACACTAAATAAACTATTGATTTAGTGTTGCCTTGCTTTAGTTGACAAAACATAAAATTGATCAAACATTTGAAGTGTTAAAGTAAAAATGTGATTTTGTTGAGAGAATTAGTTTTATTCGGGAGCATGCTTCTCCCCAATTAACTAGGAAAATAAATTGTTTACCAACTAAACTAGATCAATGTCTTAAACAATCTCTTAAAACACATTTGTACTTATAATGTAAATGTGATATACAATCCTTTTGATAAGGATCTTCACTAAAATATGTTTGTCCTTTTAGGATGTATATTAGCTTTTTTTGTTTTTTTAAACACATGTTATTATCCATTGTTTATATTTAGATTTTTAATTCGTAACCACACCATAGCAGCTGATAATCATAGTATTTCAAATTTTAAATTTAAAGTTAGTTTTGTTTACACAGTCCCTATAAGCGTTTTCAAAATGACATTTTTAATCCAAAAACCTTCTTACTGTTTGCCAAAATTACCTTTGTAAGTATGGTTTAAATATGTGCAGCCTTTTTTGGGAGATGAGGCTACAAATTTTGCATTTTACCCGATTTCAATTACTTATTAAGAGATATTACAAGTAGATTCTATTGGTTTTAGTGATTTCAGATAAAATGCTATTAACGTGGGTGACCTAGACCCGGGACCGAATTGATAATTTCCGTTTGGTGTCACCTGAGGTTAAAAATAATATTACAGTAGTAAATGTTGTGTACATATTCCGATTTTGTTGTTATTTTGTATGGACATATATGGCTGGGTACACATAAATTAGTTCGCAAACGAGCAAGATTTTTACCTTTAAAACATAAAATGCCCAACTTTCATTGGAAATGTCGTGTAGAGCCTAACAGAACAAAAAGTATTGTAAATTGAAGCGTTGTTGTAATATTTAATGTTACGGAGAAAATGTCAAAAAACTGTGATAGATTGATTACATAGGTTGTAGCTTATTGTTGCATTCTTGTCAATAGTTCGATATATCGATATAATGTACACTAACATAATTTTTTTACGATATGATTGAATCATTTACACAGCTGCTTATTTGCCTTAGCAAAATGGAGGCTATTTTGAGATCTTTACATTAAAAGTAATTTCTTTTTCTAACTTAATTTGTTAAATAATGTTGCAGTAAGACGAAAATTATAGTTCATCACATGGGCAAAAAGTGTCTTTTCAACCTTCGCTCATTTTCAGACCTTGGCTTCGCCTCGATCGTAAAACTTGAGTTCGGGTAGAAAAGAGTCACTTTACGCCCTATCGATAAAATATACAATAAACAATTATGTTTTGAATAATGTTGAATACAGTAACATGTTTTTAAAACTGTTAAAGTTTTCTACGCATTTTTGTCATATTCCGTAGCAAATCACAGAAATATCTACTTATATTAGTTTTAAAATTACTTGTCAAGAAGCGTCCTATGCCGTCGCAGGATCCGGTCCCAGCAACACAAGCAAGCTGTCTTCTGACGAACGCTGGATTTTGCAGAAACGGCGCGAAGTCCTGCGCCGAAACTAGCGTCACGGCTGCGCACAACACTACCACTGCTTTCATGACTAAGGCGCTTGCCGTGGATTACACTTTGTATATATATGTAACAATTACATCCAAACTACCTCTAAACGTTCCACAACGACATTGGCTGTAACACAGTAATTTAGCAAAAGTGTTTTACCAGTTGAAGCGCCTGGTAATCACATAGACGCAAGAGTTTGCGGTTTAGCCACTGAAAGGTCAAAAAGAGGTTAGGCCACAAACGGAGAATATTCTAGTAAAATTACGTTCTTTCAAAACAAACTTTCAAACTTGGACCCAGTTAAGGCTGTGCAATTAAACTTCTCAACGCGCACTTTTTAAAATGGGACCAAACTAAGGTAGGGATTAACAAATCTTTAATAGGTTTGTCCCTGGGGACATTCTGAATAAAAATATAGGTAAGGTGTGTTTATTTTAGGTGTATTTACGTGTGTTTTTATGTACCACTTGTTTATTGTTACGCCACTTTGCCGAAATTACAACTATTTAAACCAGATATGCCTCAGCTATTTGTAAACTATTGTTTGCCTTTTGCTGTTGTAACCAAAGAGGACAACCATTTGTAAAATCTGTCTTAAAAGAGGAGCGAAGCAACAATTATTTAAATTTTACAGAAGGATAAGAGGTTTATTTAAAGTACAGTACCATACCAGTATAAATGGACTCTTATATATGTAAGATAGATACGGTTTGCTATTGTATAAATGGGTAAAAGTCAATAATAAATTAAAAGTCCCATGTAGTTATCAAGCTACTAACTGATGCTTAAGCCAGCACCCTTAACAAAAAAGCATATTGATTGATGTCAGCTACTCAGTTTCAAACCATCGAAAATCTGACAGAATTTTCTTAAAATTGAAGTCAAAATTCTGTAAGCTTCACTGAATCTTACAAAAATGTAATATCCACCCTATACTGAAAGATACACCACGCCCACCTAAGAAAGTTGAAATCGACGAATCCAAGCGTCGTCAGATATTACTTACACACAACCACCATAAGCTCTACATTTTGCTATATGAGAAGTCAACTTGTCGTAACTCACGTTGACAGGCTTTATGCAAAATTGCATAGAAAACAAACTGAAGTTATAGATGGAAATAACGCTATTTTCTACCAATAAAATACAAGGCGCATCCCACGGTTATCAGTGAACATATGACTTTTTGAACTTCAAAGAATCACTGAACCTATTACTGATTTTAAAGAGCTGAAATGTTCCAAAGCTTATTTACAGCTAAAATACACAAAACTCAGCTTATTTATAGCTGGCTTTCAGTGAAAATACAGCTAAATTAACAGCTGGCTTACAATAAAAATCAGCTTATTAAAAGCTGGTTCACAGTAAAAATCAACTTTTTTATAGCTGGCTTACAGTAAAAATACAGCTAACTTATAGCTTTAAAAATACGTAAAATCAACACAACAATAGAAACTATTAAAACATATTTGAAAATGTTTTAGTTAGTAGATTGATAATAAATCTTGATACATAATACTGTTCATGACCTACCGACATAGACTACTATATATAGCAAATCATAAACGATTACTTTAGAGACTCCTTTGGATTCATCATCCTCATGGATCAACAGAAAAACATTTCAAGCTACAGTATGCTTATATTTGGCTACACGCATTCACTTTCAATGGATTTTTCTGAGAAAATACGGCTTTATCATTATGTTGATTTGCTACTGTATATTGTATTCGTTGATGTAAGGAGTATTCTCTTTAGTGGATAATATCGCAAGCACTTTACCATTATTTTCTGATGGGGACTAAACTAAACTGATTCAAACATAAATATGAATGGAAGATGAGTGAGATAATTTGTAAAGCTTTGTCATTGACTAGATGAACCATTTATTCTGCCAGGACCTTTTATTAAAAGCCCAATGATCAAGCTGGGTCCAGTTATGAACCATCATAAAACTACTAGTCCATAAAACTGGCACTCCGACTAACACTACTAATTTAGTATATTGCTTTAGTGTGCTGTTCCCATTACTAGTGTGTTCTTAACAACTATACGATTGCTGGTGCAATCCTGAGGACACTCAATATATTTAAATGGTTTGAAACTCGATCCAGCTCTTCTTTATTCCGCTTTTAATGGTATAGAAACAGCTGATTTAAATTAATTTTGATGGCTATGGTCGGAGTTGCACGTAGTCTACTTACTCTGCAGGTGGTCCCCGATTCTATCGCAAGGTCCGCTTCCTTGCAGGCATTTCACCTGAGAGTCGACCAGTCCCTTGTTCTTCAGCAGAGGTGTCCAGTCCCTCGGTTGTCCAGGAGCTCCTAGTGCCCCTAGGGTCAGGAGACACGCCACGGCAGCCCCTAACCACACCATTCCACTGACACTGACTGACTCGCCCCTAACTGGCCTCACTTTCTAACTTACCGTACACTAATCTGGGTCATCACTCACGATGCTTTTAGCCCAGGAATGTCCTGATAAGGTGGAATTTGGGTTGGTTGACATTCCATTGTAGTGATGGGAGTTTGGATTTTTAGTTAGAAATCGAAAAATGACTTTATTTGAGAGGCGAAGTTAGCAAGTCAGCTACCACATACCTCTAAATAAAAGGGTTTATCATGTTACTTATGCTGCTACAGGCCAATGTCATATGTACAGTTGCTCATGGTCATATTCTTTATTTTTGCATAAGTGGCTACCACAAAGATGTATACTTATACTTATTCATTAAAATTTGTAGTCTGGCAAATAGATTAATTAATTTATCACGTCTCATTATTTAACTTATTATTCCCACTTTATGATGCAGGCGCGTTTTAGTAGGACATCCAATCCATATATAAACCCTAAAGTACCCATGACCTTTTGAGAAACCTTGCGCAAAACTATTCATTATTTCATACGCCGTTAAAGTATAATTCCTTTCTAAAGGGAACTTTCCATCATACCTAATGTTAAAAATACCTCAGCTGTACTTGCAATAGATTCCGACTCTTACAATAGATTCCGACTCTCGGCTTGTCAAATAATTTAAAGACTTATAATTGTTTGTATCTTATTCTTTCAATTAATTGCCCTATTAAAATCTGTGATTATTTGTTTGTATTACTCTGTTTTGTTTGTTTCAGCTCAAACCTTAACGATGTAATTTTTAACATGTTTAGTTACAATATGTTCGAAAATTGTAAAGATGGAACGCATAGTGGCGTCACAACCCAATGTGGGTGGAAGGGTGTCCGGACAGTTGCGGACACGGACAATCGGGGACACGTCTTAAAAGCAAACAATTGCGGACACTAGGGATTAATGCTACCTGAAGAGGGTTTGACAGGTCTCTACAAATATTTCACTGCCGGACAACTGCGGACACATGTTCTGGAAAGAGTCTGATTACCACCTAAAGAACAGATATGACGATATATGATTTTAAGACTGATTTCCATCACACTTTACACACTAACGTTAGGTTAGGTTAGGTTCTGTACTATAAACAGTACAAGGAAGCCAACTTTGTCAAGTGACTGTAGGAAAAATATGTTTGATTACCTTTTTTTTGTGGTCTGTGTTCTTTAGTAAGATGTCAAGAACAAAGTAACAACAAAAAGGGTACCTAATCTAATACAAGTTCTTGAACATTGAGTAACAAAAATTAAATATACCAAATATGTAAAAATTTTACAAATTAATATTGTTTGCAGGTTTCTGTGAACCCAAACTTCAATGAGCTAACCTGAAGGCAAGTGAGCGGAGCGAACGAGCTCTAACCTAAATGTAGGTTAGGAGTGAGCGTAGCGAATAAACTTCAACCAGGACGTGATTGAGCCATGCGAACGAGCTAATCTTTAAAATGAACAAGCATTTGACATAAAACCACATTAGGGCAGTACGAAGTCTGTCGGACCAGCTAGTAATTTATAAATACAAATACTTTTTTAAAAAATACCACGTTTTAAATGCACTAAAAGAGGGATCAGAACATACAAAAATGTTTTACGAATGTCACCACATAGATTCCAGGGATTACTAGATTTAGTTAAGTCTGACCACCTCTACAAGCGGGCCAGGGGCCCTATTTTTGAAATGGTTGACTGTTGAGTTGAGTGTCGAGTCATTCTATTTCCAATCGTTTCGTATTTTTGAAACGGTTGACGGTGGACTTATACAACCAAAACTACTCAACACCTATCGAGCTGTTGAGTGAAGGTTGACTGCACTTTCTTCTTCCTCTCTTTCGGCAAAAAATTACTCTTTTTGAGACGACGCCATATTGTTTTGTTATTGCTTTAATTTACTAATTGCGATTTAGAGGTTATGTATTTGTTGTCAATGTATTACGTAGCACCCAATTATGCGATTGTTTTCTGTAGAATAATCGCATTTTATTTTAATTTTAATTACTGTGTCAATACTAGACTATTTAATCAAGGGTTTTATTCTTGTTGGAATGTTTGAAATAGACTAGGCATACACTAATTGAACTTATTATAAGATAATTATTGTTATTAGACCTATGATTTAAGGTATTAAAGATTGTGGTAGAGAGAAACAATATCATAGTTTGTTTCAATACCATTCACCTAATAAAGGGATCAAATTAATTTAAGTTACGATATGCTTTCAGTGCAATGGCAAATAGCCGCTTTAACCTAAATAAAAAACAATTAAAAATAACATAAAACAAACCGATGAAGGAAACTAAAATAAGGTGATGTGTTCCGAAATAGAGACGAAGAAAGCAAATAATAATGTATTTAGGATGAGTGTAGGACCTAAAGTAAAGTGCAGCCTATGCCTAAACTTATAATTAGCTACACCCTAAAACAAACATCCATAGTAAATTTTATTTTGTATACTTAAGTTTATTACTTTATTTAGTTTACTTTAGTTTATTACTTAAGTTAAGGTACTTTGCAATCACTAAGATTAAGCAAGACATAACCTCAATCTCAATCTCTCAAGAACGGAGTTGACAGTTTACCTCAGTGTCTCGAAATATGGCAGATTGAGATTAGCTGCCAGATTTTAGAGTAAGAAG